AGCCACGGGTGAAAGTGGGCACTGGATATAGGCTAGAGGGGGTTGATTTTAACCAGGTTCTAATGTGTCCTGAAACTAAGAGACTGTCCCTGTTTCCCTTATAATGGTTTGGTCTCACCAATGCTCAGGTGAAGGGAGGTTACTGTCCTGTGAATAGACAGCATCCTGAATATTTATCTGTAAACTTGTCAGAGCAGGAAGCTGAGCTCGATGCTCTATTTAACATTTAGTGTGCTCACAGCATCAGAGGAGGCAGGTTCCCTGTATAACCCTGCACAGTTCCCTTAGAGGATTGACACTGTGTTTCAGGAGTTACATGTCACACTAAAATGAAAGTGGCTGGTGGGAAAGTAATAGACATCAACATCTGTGGACTCAGAAGAAGTTCTTACCATCAGGCAAAGAATGGCCTGAGGTAACACAAACAGAATGGGCAGAGAGCAGGGAAGGACACGTTCAAAATATTTTCAGATTCAACAAAGGGGGCAGGAGACATGTCCACCCATGACTGCAGAGGACATGGGCTCTAAAAAGCCATCCGCAGCTGGACTGTAATGAGAAGCAAGAAGGGTGTCTCAAGAAAGATAGTGAGTTAGAGATAGTGAGGTAGATTGGCAGAGCTGAGGCCCAGGAAGAGCACAACTTAGCAGTGATTTAGGAGATGTGTCTCAGTTGTTTGTGGGAGGTGCATTAGAAAAATTATTGAAGGAAAACAATAGCCACAATATTTCTAGCATTTTGACATTTATTTAGTGTGTGTGTTGTGTGTGTGTGAGTGTGTGTGTGTGTGTGTGTGTGTGTGTGTGTGTAAGTCAGAGGGCAATCACAGGAGTTAATTCTCTCCTCCTACTGTATGAATCCTGGGGATGGAATCTGGGTCATCAGCCCTGCCAATAAGCCAGATAACTGGCCTAATTCACAAGATTGTTTTAGCAGGTGACACTACATGCAGAGGAAAGGTCCGTGTGTGAGAGGTACTGCAGTTGTAGACATGGTGTGGTTTTGGTATTGCCTGAACATATGACAGAGATGAAAGAACAAGAGTAAAATCTGCCTCCAAGCCTGAGTGTGTCTGTGCACATCCATGCACACACATGTAGAAGATGGAGGTTAACGTTAGATGCCTTTTTCGGTCACAAGACAAGGGCCCTCATCCATTCTGAAACTTAAAATTTGGCTGGGCTGACTGGCCAGCAAGCTCCAGGGATCTTCATACTTGTGACATGTGACCTAAACCATCTCACAAGACCCCTGGTTCAAACCTTCTAAGTCCGAGCAATTGTCAAAAAAAGAGTCCTCCAAAACACTGTGCCCAGAAAAGGCTACAGACTGCAGCACAGCCTTCGTACAGAGAAGTTGAGAGGCAGAAACTAGTTAAAGAAATGTGTGAGTGAGGAGGAAGTTGGGGAAAAGGGTAGAAGGCAAAATTTGAAGAAGCTGAAGCGAAGAAAGGGGAAACGGGGTGGTAGTTGGGGACCTTGTGGGATTTTTAAACGGAAGGTTAGGGACTGGGGAACAAGGTAGCACATTTTTGTCTGAATAAAGGCCGGGAATAATAATTATTCCTTGAGTGTTTATTACCTTATCAATCACAGCACATCTCATATTATCCCAGTTTTACACAGATCACAAATGTGCCTAGTGCCACACAAAAAGTGAGGGTAGGCCCCAGGAAGAAGTGATTTCTGGAAAGAGCAAGCATCTGGTGGAAGAAAATGAACTGAAAAGGTTGAGAGGGAAAAAATGTAAGAAGACACCTATAGCCATGAGCACAGGGAGGGGAAGATAAATGCAAAGCTATTTTGAGTGGCAAAGGAGGAAGTTGAGGTTGGGGGGCTTCAAGTGTCCCAACAGAGATGATGGAGTTATTAGACCTGAAAGTCATTATTCAAACCAAAACCATAGACATCTTCAGGGGAATGGACAAGGAAATGGTGGTCCCTCTAGAAGTCAAAAAGGTTTGTGGGAGTTGCAGTAGGTGATAAAATGGGAAGGTGTGTGAACAAGTTAAGTCGTGATTTCAGTACCAGTGTTTTTCATATTTGTGAAAATAAAGCCCTATATTGTCACATTTTGACCAATGTGGTCAGTAACCCTGCTAATCTACCAGATAATCATTGCTGTGCTGGAGTCCATTGAAGCCATTTTGTATAATTTTTGATAAGGCAAAGCTGGAGAAATCTACATCTGTGGGAGTATGTGGACCAGATCTAGTTTTATGTGTTTCCATTGAAAGTAACTTTATTGTACAATCTATAGTACCTCCGTGTGTGTGAGAAAGGGAGGGCTGGGTGGGAGATCATTAGCATAAAATGGCATGTCAAAGTCATATTTTGTTCATAAAATGTTAATTTGTAGCAACATTTATTCAACATTTTATAGAAATATAGCTATTAGAGAGATACAATTCTAATGGAAAGACAAAATGTTCTTCTCTCCATATTATTACTGTCAATAGCCCATACAGACAGCCTACAAGGCTTTGCGTAAATGAAAGATTTATCTTAGCAACAACACAGACCCAAGACTTAATGAGCCTCTGTTAACTATGGAGGAATTATAGTAACATTAGTCCAATCATTTCTATCACCCTGAATAATTAATAATCTTGCACTTTAAGTCACCATCACTAAAATTACTCCCCTAGAATGAGGTTAAGTGAACCCTAGCTTATTTCATAGTTGCCAAAAGGTCTTGGGAAAATTAACTTATGGGGACCTCTATACACTCACTAAAAGAAAATACAATGGCTACTGAAAGAGAGAGGTATGAGGATAAACAAGAAGTAGCACAGCTAGTATCCATGGGGACACAGTACATGCTCATTTAAACAACCACAGTCATACAGTGTAGCATGAGGTTCTACAGAATGAGCATCGGTGTCAGTGCCTTCCAGTTTGGCACCCATACTAAGTATAAGGTCTTTGCAAAAGCACACCCCATGTCCAAGGGCAGGATCCTTATTTGTGACATGAACAAACTGGTTTCTGAGATTTTTCTAGTCCTAGACCAGAACTCAATTGAAAATTTCTTAGTGGGCTATGTAAATAATTTTTATTTTGGTTGGGGTCTCTTGGCATGGTTTGTGATGTGAAGAAGAATCCCCTGGATCAAGTGACATTTGGTAACTTAGAACAGGAGGGAAATCAAGTGAGAAACTTCCTGAAAGCCCACGCTGCAGACAGTTCATGTTCTGTATTGCTTTAAGTTATGTAGAGTGTGTATTTTGAAGGGAAAGGAAGAAAAACCAAACTGTTCCCCCACAGCAGTCAAAGCAGTGAGTCATGGACACTGCATTTCAGATCACTAGTAATTATATAACTTCAGTGAGTTGTCTAACTTGTCTGTCCTTGTCCCCTCCTCTGTAAAGCAGAGGCAATGATTCATCCCTTGTCTCCTCTCCTGGGTTCAACAGAGATGTCCCAGATTAAATACCCTTGTCATTATAAAATCAGCAGAAGGGTAAGAGATTCAGCTTCCCAGCTCTCTACAACTTTAGTGTAAGACTCAGCAGCCCAAGTAGTCTTCATCCCCAAGGCCTGTTACAAAGTTTACAATCAACGAAGACAAAGCTAGAGGCGTGGCCCTAGAGAAGAATATTCAGGGCATAGGAAAATATCAAGGGAATTCATGTATGGAGTTAACATAACCAATAGATGAATACTCCCAACAAATGAAGTGTGAATAAAGCTGAATAGTCTTGACCTGTCAGAGCTGGTAAAAATGCGGCTAATCATCTCATCGCTTCACAAACAACTCGTGAGAATTAACAGATGCCACAGCTACTTTCTTCCCTAGGTACATGTGTCTGCTCGTTTCTTATGATAATTCTATGAGAAGGGTACTGTTCTCACTGTATAGATGTATATAGCAAGTTCAGAAGTATATAGCAAGAATTGCAACAAAGCAGCTAATATTTATCCAGAAGTGAGTGCTTTGTGTAAATATAGCATTCCTTCCATACTTATTAAGAAGCTATACCGTGTAAGCATTATTTTAGATACTGGTCAAGAGGCAACAACATCCTTTATAGAGAGAGGAGTGCAATAAACAAGTAACTAACCAGCATAGTTATTAAAATGAGATGAATAGTACAGGAGTGTTGGGGCAGAGAGAATATGTAAGAACACATGTGATAGGTTGAGAGTTCAGAAAAGGCCTCTGAGGATACCTTATGTTTACGCTATACCTGGATGAAAAAACTACACAAACATGGTCTGTCACCATCTATCTCTTACAAGTTATGAGACAGGAATCATTTCTACTTCTAGTCTAGAGTTGAAGACCTGGGGGCCCAAGAACTTGTCCAACATCTTGGTAATTAGAATTACTGTTTAAAAGCAGATAGTCTGACTCAGAGGCTGTGGTCTTACCTGTGATAATGTATAGCATTCTTGATGTGACCTGCTCAAAGTCAGGGTCAGAGGCAGAGAGAGGTCTAGAATTGTCCCCTTCTGATTTTAAGACAGTCCCTATCATAATCAGGCATGATACTTCTGGATCACCACACTGTCCAGAGACAAATAGATGAACAAGCCAATAAAAATTTGCTTTGCACTATTAAATCATAAGAAGAGCACCCAAGGAGATATCAGCTAGACAAATGCATAGATCAGGATGAAACTCAAGGTCTTGGGTTAAAGCCTCAGTGTAGACAAAAAAATCCATATGGACAATAAACTCATAGTGTTTTCTGGTGATATAGCTCATTGGTAATTGACTGCATAGTGTTTTCTTGAACATTAATGTGTGTCCAGACATGATTAGCAGACATACTAGCTCAGATTCCTAGGCCCACGTCTCCTTGCCTGAGACAGCCCCCCCCATATCCTTTTCTAGAACATAGTGGTAGACCTTGACTCACATCTAAAGCTACTAGGAAGATGGCATCACTCAGGGGCACCATCATGGGAAGTGCTAGATGGTGACAGATGGTGACAGAAGGTAAGATTGTTAAAGACTTTGTCATTGATCTCACCTTACTGTTTTATATTCAGGAGTTTGAGAACAGAATGACAACACCCAGAAACTCAGTGAGTGGAACTTTTCCAATAGAGTCTACCAGAGGCCCTCTTGCCATGCAACCTTCTCAAAAAAAGAAACCTCAGGAGACCATCTTCGCTGGTGGGCCCAATACAAAGCTTCTTCATGAGGGAATCGAAGGCTTTGGGGGTAAGGCTATTCTCCTCCATTCCACACCCTGGAGATGTGCTAACCTACAGAAGCTGATCTTCTGGATATATATGGAATTCAGTGTACCTTGCACAGGAAGATCTAAGTGGATATGTTCTTTATGTCTCACACAGTGGGCTAGGCCAGAGGGTACAAGAGAGATACTTCTAGATCACTGTAGAGTGACCTTAGCTTGGAGGTTTGGGATCTTCCATTCTTGTTCATTGTTCAAATTCTAGACACATCTGTTCCTTGGAAATGCCTTATGTGGTGGGAGATATAGACCCATATGAGGACACAAAATTCTTGGCAGTGCTACCACTCCATTTAGTATCTTTGCAGGTCTCTAATTGGGTCTCAGGCCTTTGATGGGTTCAGTTCACTACCAGTGCTTTTTTTCTCTCCCAAGGCTGTCCAGATCATGAATGGCCTCTTCCATATTTCCCTGGGAGGACTGCTGATGATTCCCACAGGGGTCTTTGCACCCATCTGTGTGAGTGTATGGTACCCTCTCTGGGGAGGCATTATGGTAAGTTAGAATAAACAACCGTTTATGAGATGCGAAGGAGAAAGAAAAGGTCAAAAACATTCTAGATTGTTTCTGTGTAGATGAAAGTAAGATGGGCAGGAAGAAGGTTACTGGGTTGACATAACAAAGTGGGAAGAAGGAAGGACTACACCGTGTGGCTCCTGTGGTTGAACATGGCCATGCTTCATGCGGATCCACAGAAAGGAACGCTGCTGGCTATTCTCAGGGCAGAAGGTTGTACAAAGCAGGGTGTCTTCACAGCTAACTCTAGCAGGGTGAGAGACACCAGATGTTTGGTGTTTGGGAAGGAATAGAGAAATGGGAACACCCTAAGTCTCTGCAATTTTGTTAGTTACCATGGCACCTGATGAAATTATTCCCATCCCAAATAATCCCTCTGTACTTCTGAATGCAGCAACACTACTTTGGCTACTTAATGTACATGTTTCCCAGACTTATAGTTCTGTGTGTGCCATGAGGTTAGGTAGTGTTTATTTTGCCAGGACACTTCTCATAACTGTGTCCTCTAAGAGTGAGTCCAGAATCTAGGCTTTTAGAACTGAGGTAGATTGGTTTTATAACTTTTCTGCACTTTCAAGTTTGAACCTTAGGAAAGGAAGTTGAGAAATAATCACTACTACTTCCTGTAGCAACCAATATTTTGGTGAGGTGTATATATTCAAGACAAGTACTGCCTTATATGCTGTCTTTCAGAGACATCAAAGCTATTCAGTCACTATGACTCCAAAAGAATATTTTCACTGATTACAATTAGAAAGAGATGCTGGAGAGATGGCTGAGTGGTTTAAAACACTGGCTGCTCTTCCAGTGGACCCAAATTCAATTCCCAGAACCCACATGCACAAAATAAATAGTTTATTTTAAAAAGGAGAAAGAATAAGTGTTTTGATTCACACTGACACTCTCTCCTACCTATGCCCCCCAGACATGATCCCTAATTGTGTTTTTAAAACTGGTGACTACATCTAATTGCAGCCTGTGTAAAAAAGGAATAAATCATGTTTTATTTATTTCGCTTCTATTTGATGGTATAGGCCCAGAGAGTTCTCACTGATGAGGAAGTATGAATTCTGTCTCTTTTCTTATTCTATTCCTAGTTAATGGAACCCAGAGGTTGAACAGTACAGACTGAGTATGTGAACCTGAATAACAAAGAAATATAGCTACCAAGAAATAGTTTAATGGGATAAAATTTGATGCATAGATTAATGAAAGACAGTAAAACTGTAGGTGGTTCCTTCACAACCAGTCATCAGTGAAAAACAGTGACCCTTTTCTGCTTCCCCCTTCTGCCCATTTCTTCCTTCCCCCTCCCTCTTCCCAACCACCCCTCTCTTTGCAGTATATTATTTCAGGATCACTCCTGGCGGCGGCAGCAGAGCAAAACTCCAGAAAGAGTTTGGCAAGTAATCTATGTCTTTTCCTACACATCAGACACAGTAACTACTTTCTCAGTTGCCATCAAGTCCTGGGGACCTTTAAAGAGCTTAGCAATCACAGATTCTCTATGAGCAAAAGATCCTGTATCAGTCCTGGTTGCAATAAAAATTTATTCATGAGAAACTTAAAAAAAAAAAAGAAAGAAAGAAAAGAAAAAAAGGCATCTGCCTTAAGTCTGTGCAAGAGAATCAAAGGCAGAGCTCAGAAGACAGCACATACAGTCTTTTAACGCTAAGTTCCCTGTGGAGATGATAGACCTGACATATTTTGAAAGAATACCATTTTTCCCTCACACTATTTAGGAAGATTTTCTGATCCATATGCTTGAGTCAGGTTCTAGCTAAGTCAGAACCCTGAGTGAGTGAGTGAGTGAGTGAGTGAGTGAGTGAGTGAGTGAGTGAGTGAGCGAGTGACTGAGTGAGCGAGTGAGTGAGTGAGTGAGCGAGTGAGTGAGCGAGTGAGCGAGTGACTGAGTGAGCGAGTGAGTGAGTGAGTGAGTGAGTGAGCGAGCAAGTGACTGAGCGAGCGAGTGACTGAGTGAGCGAGTGAGTGAGTGAGTGAGCGAGCGAGTGAGCGAGTGACTGAGTGAGTGAGCGAGTGACTGAGTGAGTGAGTGAGTGAGTGAGCGAGTGACTGAGTGAGCGAGTGAGTGAGTGAGTGAGTGAGCGAGCGAGTGACTGAGTGAGTGAGTGACTGAGTGAGCGAGTGAGTGAGTGAGTGAGTGAGCGAGCGAGTGACTGAGTGAGTGAGTGAGTGAGCGAGTGACTGAGTGAGCGAGTGAGTGAGTGAGTGAGCGAGTGAGTGAGCGAGTGAGCGAGTGACTGAGTGAGCGAGTGAGTGAGTGAGTGAGTGAGCGAGCAAGTGACTGAGCGAGCGAGTGACTGAGTGAGCGAGTGAGTGAGTGAGTGAGCGAGCGAGTGAGCGAGTGACTGAGTGAGTGAGCGAGTGACTGAGTGAGTGAGTGAGTGAGTGAGCGAGTGACTGAGTGAGCGAGTGAGTGAGTGAGTGAGTGAGCGAGCGAGTGACTGAGTGAGTGAGTGACTGAGTGAGCGAGTGAGTGAGTGAGTGAGTGAGCGAGCGAGTGACTGAGTGAGTGAGTGAGTGAGCGAGTGACTGAGTGAGCGAGTGCCTGAGTGAGTGAGTGAGTGAATGAGCGAGTGCCTGAGTGAGTGAGTGAGTGAGCGAGCACAGGGGTGCCCCTGAATTTTCACCCATGAACAGAAGTGCTAATCCTGACATAGGAAATCAAGATACAAATGAAATGGGGAATTGTGTGTGATAGTATAGTGGGATCTGTAAGGCCTACAGTGTAATCTTATCCTTAAGGATTCATTTACAACCTCCTAAAAAAAAGGTAGCATATAGAATTCCTGAATCTGGATGGGTGACCAGATATCACTACCAAATTTTTCTCCAGGAAATCCTCTACCAATGCTTTCACTTGCTGACTTAAGTCACTGTGAGTTTGTAAGGATCTGAGTGGATTGAGACTCTTCCTCTCTCTAAGTGGTGTGAAAAATTCAATTTAGGGGAAGAAACAAATTGTTTACAAATAGCAAATACAACCAAAACTACCAAATTGCCATAAATAGACCACGTAGCTAGGAGTGAAATATGTGCTTCATAAAATAACCATCAATAATACCACAGCATCCTGGTACTTGGCATATGATATGTCAATTTTTTATCACCTGTGCAGGACAGAGCAGTCACAGCCATATCCTCTGGCCCATGTATCAAGAGACATCTAAGCTAATGGTCCTGGGGGAAGACAGTTGACTGGGGATACCTTGTCAGTAGAGAATGGTAGTATAATTATGGCTGATTCATTTTTATTGGATGGTACAAACCTAGAAGGTTCTATCTATATCTACACCAGCGATCTTTAGACACAATATAAAATCCTTCTTATTCCTCTGCCCACTGCCTTATTATTCAAAGAGATAAAAATCTGGATGCTCACTAAGTCTCTAAAGCATGTCTGGGAGGGTGGTGATAATAAAAAAGTTCAGAGATACAATGTGTGGGTACAAAGATTCACTGGAATCTTAGTTTTATACATCGAGTGGATGGTGATTGCATAAGATGAGAAGACTGGAATAGGAGGGAGAAGAAACTAGAAGTTTTGCTTCACAATGACAAAAAGGCTAAAAGCCAGAATGAGAACAAAACTAGAACTCAGGTGTGGAGTCTCTCTGAGTCAGGGAGACAGCAGCTGGAATCTCACATTCTTCTTTGTTTTCTGAAGAGAAATCAAATCTAACTAACAAGTCTGCCTCTGTTTCAGGTCAAAGCTAAAGTGATAATGAGCTCTCTGAGCCTCTTTGCTGCCATTTCTGGAATAATTCTTTCAATCATGGACATACTGAACATTACAGTTTCTCATTTCCTGAAAATGGAGCGTCTGATTCTTAGTAAAACCCCCAACCTGTATGTTGACATCTACAACTGTGAACCATCTAATTCCTCAGAGAAAAACTCCCCATCTACACAGTACTGTTACAGCATGCAGTCTGTGTTCTTGGTAAGTAAGAAAGCAGTGTTCCTCCAGAGAAGAAACATGCTGTGCTTTATTATGAGTATCAACACTGGGTCCAGGTAGTCTGTGTCTGCCATTTTTTCTGCACGTGGCTTTGGGAAGAACCCTCAGCATATACTGCTTTCATTTCCCCAGCTGTAAAACAGGGAGAGTAACACTGTGTTTCTCCTTGGAATGATGTGAGAAACAAATTAGTTAACATAAGCAAGGCACTTGGAATCATTCATATGGAAGAGTATATTTGTGACTTTATTATTTCTTCTGAGGAATGGTCTTAGTGTATAGCCCTGGCTGATCCAATACTGACTATTTAGCCCAGACTAGCTTCAAACTCATAACAATCCTGCTTGCTGGGACTCCTGGCATGTGCCACCACACCAAGCTTTATGTGCTCATCATTCATCTTTGTTAATACATTGATGACATTAATAATTATTAATAAAATATGGAATAAATTCACAAACTGTTAACATGTTTTCCCCCACAGAATTTTTGAATGCAGAGTTTAAAAGGGAAAGGCAATAATACATCTCCCAAGTGTTATGGAGTTTCCTTGGTGTGATATCACATACTCTAAAGCTGATACAACTTCTTTTTTTTTTGTTTTTTTTTTTTGTTTTTTTGGTTTTTACGAGACAGGGTTTCTCTGTATTGTTTCGAAGGCTATCGGTCCAGCCTGGCCTCGAACGCACAAAGATCCGCCTGCCTCTGCCTCCCGAGTGCTGGGATTAAAGGCGTGCGCCACCACCGCCCGGCTTGATACAACTTCTTTTAAGACAGGATTTCCCATAATCCAGGCTGGCCTTCACTTTGTTGTGTAGTCAAGAACAATTCTGAACTTCTGATCTTCTTGCCTCCAACTCCCCTAGTGCTGGAATTACAGGCACATGCTACCATACCTAGTTTACATAGTGGGACTAGAACCCAGAACCTCAAGTATGCTGGGAGAGTACCCTACCAATGAGCTACTGTACCAGACCAAGCTGGCAGAATTTAATGTGGGACTCTTTCTTACAAAGAATTGATTCTTCAGTTTCCTGTTCCCACCTTACTTCCTGTGTTCAGCCCTTGGGTTGTAAAGATGCTGCCTTTTACAGCAGCCATTCCCCCAGCTCTTCAGCTCACTCACCTAAAGAACTGAGCTGAACTGTTTGTTGCTCACTGAGTCCTGTCATAGTCACCACTGTGTACTAAGTGCATCCAGCTGCCATTGCCTCATCTTTACCTCTGTTCTGTTGTTTCCAGGGCATTTTGTCAGTGATGCTGATTTCTGCCTTCTTCCAGAAACTTGTGACAGCTGGCATCGTGGAAAACGACTGGAAAAGAATGTGCTCCAGACCCAAATCTGTAAGTTGGAGTTACTTTCCCATAACATCCTTCTAAAGAAATTAGTATCTACAAAGAATTGTTTACATAGAGTCTAATCTGACAAAATTTTGAATCTAGGAGCTTCATTTGGAATAAACGGTTTTGCTATATTTTTTGGAAAGCAGACAACACCACTAGTGGCAGCAAATGTTTTAAGTGTAAATCAGTCTATGGTTAGACAGAAGCACAGTTCCACGTGTGCACAAGGGTGCCTGCCAACCATCTTTCCCTTATGCTTGACTCCAGACTCTCAGTTCCTGCCCCATCTTAGCTACTGTTCCATGGCAGTGATATGAAAGCATGGCCAAGGCAACTTATAAAAGAAAGCCTTTATTTGGGGCTGACAGTTCCTGAAGATTAGTTGGAGTTCATGACTATCATGGGAAGGAGCATGGTGGCCAGGAGGCAGGCATGGCTCTTGGGGAGTTGCTGAGAACTTACATCTGATCCACAAGCATGAGGCAGAGAGAGCTAGCTGGACTAGCACCGGCTTTTAAACCCTCAAAGCCCAACCCCAGTGACACATCTCCTGCAAGGCCGCATTTTCATTCCCACAGTTCTACCAACTGAAGAACAAGTATTCAAAGTTTAGGGTCTATGGAGGCCATTCTTACTCTTCCCTTGACTATATGCCCCCCATCTTAACTTGTAACATAGGATGATTGAAGGCATGAGGCTGGTAAAGTCATTGGTTCTTGGATTTTTCAGTGTTCCCCTCTCCTCCCACTCTCTTCACCTCATGCCACTTCCAAAGCAACAGTATTTCAAAGAGCCTCCAAAGCTAGGAAATATGAATGTTCCAATAGTAACTCCCCTATAAAATAATTTGGAAATACAGACTATAAGATTTAGTTTATGGATTAGAAGCCATTACTGATTCCTTCATTTTACAGATGGGGAGAGGGAAGAATGAGGGTCTCTTCCCAAGGTTATGATCACTAAAGGTGAATCAGTTCTAGAATCCAAACACCTCTCTTTTCGGTATTATTTTTCCATGTGGTATGATTATTCCAGGCAAAATGGCAAATGCCTGAAGTCCTTAATGATAAGTAGGTATCTATAGTATATGGTTAATTAAATAAAGAACATGAAAATAAGTTGGCAGTCTGAATATGTCGATTGTTGGGAGACGTGTCAAGGGTAAAAGTCAAGAGGCATTTGTTTTTGTTCTAGAATGTGGTTCTGCTGTCAGCTGGAGAAAAAAAAGAACAAACAATTAAAATGAAAGAAGAAATCATTGAGCTAAGTGGAGTATCTTCCCAACTAAGGAACGAAGAAGAAATTGAAATTATTCCAGTGCAAGAAGAAGAAGAAGAAGAAACAGAAATAAACTTTCCTGAACCTCCCCAGGAACAGGAATCCTTGCCAGTGGAAAATGAGATCACTCCTTAAACTCTTCTCTTTTATAAGCATTATTGTTTAGAGAGCTTCCAAGACACATAGTTACCCCCATTTCTTGGTCTTCCATATCTATTCTCCACGTTTCCACAGTTTATCTTTGCATAAAGAAGACACAACTAGCTCTCCTTCACATTTAGAAAATGTAGCAATTGTAGCAGATTGTGTTGCCCCTTACTTAGGAGTCTTACATCAGCAGAAATGCTGCAGAACCCAATTCTCATTCACCTTTTTCTTGGACAGGCATTTTAGTAGAGGTAGTGCTGTTCCCCTAAGTCTTCCATCAGCAACTGCAGCTTCGGGAAAAGACACATGACTGTTCCATCCATCTCTGACCTCTCTGATTCCTTCCTTATCTACATTTTTAGGAGAGTCTGTTTTGCACTATTGTTTTAAGGAAAGTAGAAACAGTAATGAAAGGGAACAAGACACCTATTTTTCCAGGGGAGCAGACACTGTGCCGCAGTCTTCAAGATTCTGTATCCATTTGGAAAGCTGTGAAAGGCAAAAACTAACCCTGTCCCTGTATAAACAACATAGCTTACACATAAGCAAGTCTCTGTGTCTTAACTTTGTCCAATTCCTTTGTTTACCTCCTTGTATTCTTTAGTCAAGAAAAGAAAAAATGGTGGGACATAATGGGTAACCAAATCTCAAATCATAAGCAACACCTATGTTTACAGGATGCTTTCCAAGGGGCAGAGCAGTTTATTAAAATGTTGTGTTTGATCTTCCATGACCATGAAAGGATACCTATCACTATTTTGCAATTAAATTGAAGGTAGGAAGAAAAATCAAAGTATCCTGTAATGATCACTATTTTGTAATTAAATTGAAGGTAGGAAGAAAATCAAAGTATCCTGTAATGATCACACATAATAGTTGTGGGGTCTTGACTAGGATGCAGTTCTTCAAATGCTGGTTATGTTTGAAATTACCAAATTCTCTATACCCAATGTCTGCATAAGCTGGATCAAGAGCGTACTCTGACTAGGAGCAATGTGTTGAGTCACAGAAGAGTCAGAATTGGATTTGACCACCATGTGAATAAAAACACCTTGAAACTTAACAACATTCAGAAAACTAGTCAAGACATTAATGTGTAGTTAGCTGATAAGTTATAGCATGCACATAGTAAGCACTATAAATTGATTTCAGAAAGATCAAGCTTAGAAATAATATACTTAAGATACCAACGCTCAGGTTACCCTACTTTTCCATCCCTGTTCATGTGCGGGGAGGCTAGCACCTGACCTTGAAACACTATTAGCCTAAGAAGATCTCACCATAACCTATCAGTCAGCTACCATGATCAGCCTGCTTTGAGGCATGAGGGATATATGGACAACTTAAGTTATACTCCTTGGAATATTTCAATTGTATTAGAGGTTACTGGTGGGAGTTATGTCCTGTAATTACAAATAAAATGGAAGTAGAACTTTTCTCCTCATGAAGTCTTCAAAACAAACTATAAATGAATAAAACTGTGTGTTCATGACGGCAATATCTAACTCCACCTTGGGTGCTACCTTATTCTTCATAACATCAAACACCAGGGTGCTTCTACAGCCTCAGTTAATACCAATCTGCTTGAATAGAGACACATCAGGCATATTGGGCTATTCCTACATACTTCACACATGCTCCCAAGGAAATTATTCATCCAGTAGGTCATTACTAATTGCTTCTCACTCTTGCAAGTCACAGCATGGTTTCCCACATCCAACACATGGAAGGTTCCCCTCCCTAAATTAAATACCATCATGGAAGTGGCTGGAGTAAGGCGAGAGGGTGAGTAACAAGCTGGAAAATCTTTAAACACGGTTTTCCCTCTGAAACTCATCATTTCCTTAAGGATTTTGCTTTATTAGTTGTTAGGTTCCCAGATAATTAGTTTTGTTTTGTTTTGTTTTGTTTTTTACCAAATTCTCATTTCTCTTTATGGCACATAACTTTAATGTCCATCTTTAAAGACTGGAAATTCTTGCTGATCTCCCTCAAGAATCTTCTGTCAATATAGACTCTGATAGCATCTCCAAGGGGTGACACATTTATCAAAGCAGAAGATATTTCTCTAGATTTAAGTTAGATTTTCCTCTCAATTTTTATTTTTATAAAAACAGTTTTGTAACTGTAAAGAGCATAGTCTTTAAAAAAAAAAAAAGTCAGTTGCTTGATATACCATGCCTGGCCGATATCCATGGGAGGCCCACCTGTATCTGAAACAGTGGAGGAGGAGTAGATGGGTGGGGGGGTGGGGGGATGACTTTGATTGGGATACACCCACTGACTAGACACCTGGAGAGGTTGATTGACTCTACTGTTTGGGGACCAGCAGTGAGGCTGAAGAATATCAAGGAAGGAACACTCAATGTCACAAAGCTGCTTACCTTGTGATAAACTGGGAAGCAAACAGAGAGAGCTGAAAAGGCTTGGAATCCCAGTAGCCCTTCAAGGGCATGTCAAGCTTTAGCAGTAGACGTTTAGAGGGTATCTGAGATCCAAACCATAACATATGATAGGGCATACTGTTAAGAAAGGCATAACTGAAAATAAGACAAAGGCCTTAACTTCAACGTATTAGTGCCTGCTTGAACATAATAAAAATGTATTCAAAAATAATGGAAGATAATGAGTTGGTGAGTTGGACTCCAAGAAAACTCAATGAGAAAGGAGTAATTATTTCAACAAATTCTCATGGGATGCATGATACCTACATATGAAAAATAATATAAGTAAATAAACTGAAAGTTTACCTTACACAGTATAAAAAACTAACTCAAAATGGATGAGAAGCATAATTGTAAAAGTACCCATTAAAAAAATACAGATTTAAAATTTGTGACCTTTAAAAAACAGTAGTTTCTTAAATATGATACTAATATAGTAAACAACCAACAAAGATTGAATGCCATCAAAATTGTAAATTTTTATGATTTTTAAATATTTTTAAAAACTATTACATTTATGTGTGCTTATATGAGCCTTTGTGAGTTTATTTGTACCACATGTCTGCAGAAGCCAGAATGAGGGGTGTCAGATGCCCTGGAACTAGAGACACAAGTGGCTTTTGAGATGCCAAGTGGTGCTAGGAACCAAACCTAGGTCCTCTGCAAGAACAGTTAAGCATTCTTAACAGTTGAGCCATCTCTCTAGGCACTAAAAACCTCATAACTCAAAGGACCCAAATTTAAAATGTAAATAGAACCCACCATAAGGGAAAACACTCACACACCCTGAATTTCTTATGTGCCTTTTGGTCATTTGAGATTCCTCTATGAGAATTCTCTATTTAGATCTGTACCCCATTTTTAATTGGATTATTTGGTGTTTGGGTGACTAAATTCTTGATTTCTTTGTGTATTTTGGAGATCAGCCCTCTATCAGATGTGGGGTTGCCATCTGAGTAAGGTAACCCAGACACAGAAAGAAAAAAATGGTATGTACTCATTCATAAGTGGGTATTAGACATAGAGCAAAGGATAACCAGCCTACAATCCACAACCCCAGAGAATCTAGGAAACAAGGAGAAACCTAAGAGAGACATGCATGGACAACCCCAGAAGGGGGAAAGGGACAAGAGCTCCTGAGTAAATTGGGAGCACAGGGGGAGGGGAAAGGGAGGTAGGAGAAAGAGGAAGGAAGAAAAGGAAGGGGGAGGAGAACATGAGGGATCATTAAGGTCGAGTTGGGGGAAGGATAAAAAGGAGAGCAAGGAAAGAGATATCTTAATAGAAAGAGACATTGTGGGTTTAAGGAGAAATCTGGTACTAGGGATCCACAAAGATAACCCCAACTAAGAATCTAAGCAATAGTGGAAATGTTACCTTAAATGTCCTTCCCTTATAATGAGATTGATGACTACCTTAAATGCCTTCATAGAGCCTTCATCCGGTAGCTGATGAAAGCAGAAGCAGAGACCCACAGCTAAGCATTGAGCCAATCTCCTGGAATCCAGTTGTTGAGAGGGAAGAGTGATGAGCAAAGGGGACAAGACCATGCAGGGAAACTCACAGAAACAGCTGACCTAAACAAGTAGGATCGACAGCTGGTGAACCAACATAATACCAAACCAGGCTCCCTGAACATGGATGTCAGTTGGGGGGCCTATGAAGTCTGTGGGGCCTCTGGCAGTGGAACCAGTATTTATCCCTAGTGCACAAATGAGCTTTGGGTGCCTACTCTCTATGGAGGGATACTCTCTCAGCTTAGATATGGGGGAGGGACTAGGTCCTGCCACAAATGATGCGACAGACTTTGATGATCCCCCATGGGAGGCATCACCCTCCCTGAGGAGTGGATGGTGGGTGGGATGGGAGGTTGGAAGGGAGGATGGGAGGAAGGGAGGGAGGAGGAACTGGGATTGGTATATAAAATAAGAGTGTTTTTAATTTAAATAAAAATTTATTCTAAAAAATATTTTTTAAAAAGGGAGCAAGAAGCCATTTATATGGTGTTTGGCTCCATTTTCATGACATGCCCAGAATGGTTTCCTGAGACTGGAAGTAGAGAGAAATTATAAGTAGATGTTAACTGATGTTTCCTCAATCCTGTGAATTAATTTAAAAAAGAACACCTAAATGGGTGAATTATATGGTATTTGAATCTTACACTGATAATATATGTGATATTATCAATGATATAAGAGACAGCCAGGAATAAATAACTGACATAGCAAGCCCCATTGCTTAATATCAAATAATTGTTCAATGACACACTATAGGAGGGAACTCAGTGAAGGTAGACTATGACAAAAGAAAAAGAACTTCATGAAACAGGAAGTATGAATAGGTGAAAATATGTGGAAAGAGAAAAAAAGAAAAAGACTACCCATAAAAGGAAAATGAAAGTACATGAATTAGTCACTTAGAATTTATAGACTGGAAATGATGGCGTGGACGAAAGTCCCCAGAGGACAGTGACACTTCATTAGGAATACCTGCATTTGCCTGTCAGAGAAAAGGCAGCTCATCAAGGTGAGACTGGGGACATCTAAGAAAGTAACACAGGCTTACAGGCCTGTTTTGGAAGTGTCGTAGTTACTTCTCTTTCTTTTTTTTTTTTAAGTGGAACCTTTTTATACTTTTAAATTTCATTTTACATTCCAACCACAATTCTTCCTCCCACCCCTCCTCCAGATCCCCCTTGCCTCCTCCCCAGCCCACCCCCCTGTCCACTCCTGCTCATGGGTAAGGACTCTCATGAGGAGTCAACAAAGTCTGACACATAGGTTGGGGCAGGGCCAGGCCCCTCTCCCACACATTAAGGCTGAGCATGGCCTCCCATCATAAGGAATAGGCTCCAGAAAGCTAGCTCACGTACAAGGGTTGTATCATGGTCCCACTGCCAGAGGCCCTTCTGACAGCCCAAGCTTCACAACTGTCTCCCACGTATGGAGGGCCTAGTTTGGTCCCCTGGAGTCCCTACCACTGTCAGTCTAGAGTTCATGAGTTTCCACAAGCTTGGTTCAGCTGTCTCTGTAGATTTATCCATCATGATCTTGACCTCCCCTGCTCATATATTCCCTCCTCCCTCTGTGCAACTGGATTCC